GCGTCCAATCACCTTTGCTATACTCTGTTAGAAGAGAGTCATAGGTCCAACCTGCACACAAGGGGAAGGACACCAGGAAGCAGAGATCATTGGGGTTACCTCATGGTCTGTCACCACACATTCTCTATGCATTTCTAATTTCCCCTTGAAATACAAACAAAAGAGGGGAAAAAATGGCAAGGGCTTCATGAGCATTTTATACCAAGCTATAAAGGCTGACTTCACTACTTCAGGTCTGTTGTTTCAAGTACAGGGTTTTTTGTTTTGTTTTTTTTTTTTTTGAGACAGAGTCTCGCTTTGTTGCCCAAGCTAGAGTGCTGTGGCTTCAGCGTAACTCACAGCAACCTCAAACTCCTGGGCTCAAGCGATTCTCCTGCCTCAGCCTCCCAAGTATCTGGGACTACAGGCGCGAGCCACCACACCCGGCTAATTTTTTGTTTCTATATTTAGCTGACTGGCTAATTTTCTTTCTATTTTTAGTAGAGATGGGGGTCTTGCTCTTGCTCAAGCTGGTCTCGAACTCCTGACCTTAAGTGATCCTCTCGCCTCAGCCTCCCAGAGTGCTAGGATTACAGGCGTGAGCCACCACGCCCGGCCTCAAGTACAGGCTTAATAAATATATGCTAAGACAGCAAATGTGTTGAAAAAAAATTTTTTGCGATATTTTTATCTTTTTGAATGCGTAATTGTCAGCTAGAAAAATTTTGAAGTAACTATTTCCTTTTTTTTGTTTTTTCATCACAAAGCTAACAAGATTTTTTTAAAATTTTTTTTTTGGGGGGGGTGACAGAGTCTCGCTCTGTCACATTGGGTAGAGTGCAGTGGTGTCACCATAGCTCACTGCAACCTCAAACAACTGAGCTCAAGTGATTCTCCTGCCTCAGTCTCCCAAGTAGCTGGGAGTACAGGCATGTGCTACTACGGCCAGCTATTAGATAATTTTTCTATTTTTAGTAGAGACGGGGTCTCGTTCTTGCTCAGGTTGGTCTCAAACTCCTGAGCTCAAGCGATCCTCCCACCTTGGCCTACTAGAGTGCTAGGATTACAGGCCTGAGCCACCGCACTGGCCTGCTAACAAGATTTTGTAATGTAGTATTGTAATTTCCAAAACAGGTTTTGGAGGCACCCATTTTTGGGTTCAAACCCTGCTCTACCCATTCATTTGCTATGGAAACTTATTTCACTTCCTATTTCTTTCCATCTTCAGACCTTTGCATATGCAGTTCTCTCTTCCTATACAAACTCTTTACCTTCATCTCTTCTTACCTAGGTCTTTACTCATATCTCTTTCAGGAAGTCTCCTCTGATTTTGGAGAGTTGGTTGCATCTGTTAAGTTGCCTCATTGTGTGCATAAAGTAGACAGTTGCATTCTTACTGGCTTTTCGGCTTCCGAACCCTAGTCTGCATTTGGGGACACTTCACCATATGAAGGAGGTGATTCATCTTTCACCAGAGAAGCTGAACGCGCCAGATACTTGTTTTCCTGCCTTTACAGCAGGGAGGAAGCTGAGACAGAACCTTGACTGCACTAGTTAGTTCCACAACAGAATTCTAATAAATAAGGACACAACGAAGCTATGAAGCAGGGATCACAGGGAAATCCACTGTAGCAAGGGGACAGAGGTGGTAGCACCCTGTTTCCAGAGGCAACAGTCAGGGGTTCAGAGCAGAGCCCAGTGCCCAGAGTGGCTGGTGTAGATGCCAAAAACCATGGAGTATAGCCCAGAGGGGGCAGAAGTGTTGTCATCATAGAACCAGCTCCACAACTTTTAAAGGCATGAGCCCCTGTGAAGGGATTAGTACCCCTATAACTTCCAAACCTGGTTCTCTGGCTCTTCTGGAGATTTCAGCAGCTACCAAATGCCATTGTAATAAATTTCCTTTCTGTTTACAGTAAACTCAAACTGGTTTTCTGCTGCTTGCTACTAAGGACCCTGTGTTACTACTGCATCCTACCCCAATCACCATACTTACTGCAATTTCATTGCTTACTCCTCCGTTGCCGTGCTACGGTATAAAGTCCTTGATCTGTCTCATTTATCACTGGATCCTCAGTACCTGGTAAGCACCCAGGAAGAAATTGGTTGAATGAATGAATGAAACTCTCATTTCCTTATCTATAAATTGGGAGTAATAGTTCTTAAGGAAGATCGTGAACATTTTTCTAGCAGGAAAGAAACCTGGTTATCTTCCATCCCATCCATCTTATTTTATAAACAAGGCCCAGAAAGAGTAAATGATTTACCTAAGTTTGGTGGATGAGTTTGGAGGTTTTTTGTTTGTTTGTTTTTCTAATCACTAGACAAGCAGGGATGGAACTCTTTTTGACTCCCAAGTCAACACACATTCTACACACTGTGATGTCTATGAAATATTGTTACAGACTCAATGTTTGTGTTCCCTTCAATTCATATTTGAAACCCTGATCTCTAATTAGGGGTTAGGTATTAGGAGGTAGAGCCCTCAGGAGGTGATTAGGTTTAGGTGAGATCATGAGGCGGAGGCCCTATGATGGGATTAGTACCTGTATAAGAAGAGGAAGAGACACCAGCACTTCCTCTCTCCACAGGAGGATACAGCAAGAAAACCATCTGCAAGGCCAGAAGGGGGCCCTCACCAAAACCTAGCCATGCTGGCACCTTGATCTTGGACTTGCAGCCTCCAGAACTGTGAGAAATAAATGTCTGCTTTTTTGTTTTTGTTCTTAGAGTTGGGGTCCCACTATGTTTCCCACGCTGGAGTGCCGTGGCTATTCACGGGCACCATGATAGCACACTATAACCTCAAACCCCTGGCCCCAGCAGTCTTCTTATCTCAGCCTCCCGAGTAGCTGTGACTACAGGTGTGCTCCACCACACCTGGCTAATAAATGTCTGTTTAAGCTACCCAGTCTATGGAATTGTGTTACAGCAGCCTGAGCTAAGGCAAATATTTTATTTTATAACATTTTCACTTTAAACTTAAGCAAAATGAATATACATGCATTCATTTGTAGGCAGAACAGAAGGCAGGTGCCAGCATTATAAAGAACATCACATGTAGGCCGGGTGTGGTGGCTCACGCCTGTAATCCTAGCACTCTGGGAGGCCGAGGCGGGAGGATTGCTTGATCTCAGGAGTTTGAGGCCAGCCTGAGCAAGAGCAAGATCCTGTCTCTACTAAAAATAGAAAGAAATTAGCCAAACAACTAAAAATACAAAAAATTAGGCAGGCATGGTGGCGTGTACCTGTAGTCCTAGTTACCTGCGAGGCTGAGACAGAAGGATTGCTTGAGCCCAGGAGTTTAAAGTTGCTGTGAGCTAGGCTGACGCCATGGCACTCTAGCCTAGGCAAGAGAGTCAGACTCTGTCTCAAAAAAAAAAAAAAAAAAGAACGTCTCATGTAAGGTGTCAAGTTTGGCAAACAGCATGTGCATTGTGTTTGCTGTGTGTGCTCAGGAGTGAAAGAGTGAGAATTACCTATGCCCAGGAGAACTCTAGTACATACGTTATTTCATTTAGTACTCTCAGGAACTCTATAAAGTAAAAATTATTATTCTACAGGTTTTTGTTGTTTTTATTTCTTTTTTGGAGAGATAGGGGTCTCACTATGTTGCCCAGGCTGGTCTCAAACTCCTGGCCTCAAACAATCCTCCTGCCTAAGCCTCCCAAAGTGCTGGGATTACAGGTGTGAGCCACCGTGGTGATTCTACAGATCTTTTTTTAAAGGAATAAAAAATAGGCTCAGTGAAGGTAATTGAATTATTCTGGGCACTGGCAAACATCAAATAGCAATGACCAAATTAAAGCCAAATAAGCTAGGCCGGGCGCGGTGGCTCATGCCTGTAATCCTAGCTCTCTGGGAGGCCGAGGCGGGCAGATTGTTTGAGCTCAGGAGTTCGAAACCAGCCTGAGCAAGAGTGAGACCCCGTCTCTACTAAAAATAGAAAGAAATTAATCGGACAACTAAAAATATATAGGAAAAAATTAGCCGGGCATGGTGGCGCATGCCTGTAGTCCCAGCTACTCGGGAGGCTGAGGCAGGAGGATCGCTTGAGCCTGGGAGTTTGAGGTTGCTGTGAGCTAGGATGACGCCACAGCACTCTAGCCCAGGCAACACAGTGAGACCCTGTCTCAAAAAAAAAAAATAAAGCCAAATAAGCTGCTCACTTTGAACCCATCCCTTTCCCCATCACTAAATTAAATCATTAATTTACAATCCTGTGGAATTTTTCATAGTCTAGGCAGGCCCTTACCTTCTTTCTTTTGCCTGTTTAAGTCTTGCGACTCTTGGTACCTCTGGGGAGAGGGGGAGAGTTCATAATGACAGATTGTTAAATCTTCTAACCCTTTCAGATTCTTATAAGTATCTTCTGACTTTTGTCACATTGCCATAAATAAGCCCAGGAGAACCTACTTCATAAATGGTTTCTTGTCTGTGCCTTAGGTAATTGGTGCGAATCCTTAAGTCTATAAATTCAAAGCATTAATGAACCGCAAATAGACTTAAGGTTATTGAATCCTGGTTCCTATTCTTGACCTTCTCATTTAAGTCCCACTTAGCTACTAAAAAGATTCACAGAGAGATTTAAAGTTAAGTATAAACGTCCTCACTGTTGAATGAAATATTTTTTCTTTTGATAGTCTTTGGGGACAACACAAACTCCTGGAAGATGTAGGATTCTTTCACCCACACAGTGCAAAAATATATCTAACATATCTTTGGCATTAACTCCCCAAATCCTAGAATCCGAAGCATATTCCCCGGGCGCCCTAAACTGCTAGTTGACGGAGACCCGCCGCCCAGCAGAATCATTCAAGGTCACGGGAGCAGCCGGAACCAGCGCGTCCCGGCCTGTTTCCTTCTCCGAAGTCGGCTCACGCTCTGTCCCCACTCCTGGGGCTCACCCCAGACGACTGCGACCGGGCGGGGAGACCCCAGCCAGCGTGCCAGGTGGCGGGGCTTGGAACCGCGCCTCTGGAAGGTTCCTGAGCGGCTGGCGGCGGGGGCGGCGCCGGGAGGCCGGGGCGGGCCTCCCCGGCCGCTCGGCCGCGCCCGTTGGCGGAAGCCGCGCTCCGCCCCGCGGGAGATGCGCTGGTGGAAGGTCGGCGGCGGCGCCGCGCTCCCCGGCCATGCAGTCCTTAGCCATGGACCTGCGGATGCTCTCCCGGGAGCTCTCCCTCTACCTGGAGCACCAAGTCCGGGTTGGCTTCTTCGGCTCGGGGGTGGGCTTATCCCTGATCCTGGGCTTCAGCGTCGCGTACGCCTGCTACTACCTGAGCAGCATTGCCAAGGTGAGCCGGGCGCGGCGGGGCGCGAGGCTGCCGCTGGCAGGGCGGGGGGCGGCGGGCGCGAGGCTCCCGAGCGGTGGCGCCTTGAGCGCGCGCCCCTGCCGCCTGCCTGGCGGGTCCCGGCCCGGGGCCTCGGGCCGCTGCCGGGACTCTGCTGACCTCGGCGGGCGCGGCGGCGCTGCCCTGCCACCGATCGTAGTCCCAGCCGCGCACTCGGCGGCGCTGTAGCAGTTTGAGAAAGACTTCCTTATCTCAACTCGCGCCCTCCCCGCGAGGGATTTCATAAACCACTGTTTCAGTGCGGGGTGGTTGTGAACGACTTGCGTCAGCCTCCCAGGGATGTTATCGGAGGGCATGCTCGCGCGAGGGGCAAGTCTGTGCCGGTTTCTGTTCACGGTTGGCAGAAACTTTCCTCTGTTCTGGACCCTTCCCTGATACGGCTTTCCCTTCAGAAACCCCAGTTAGTGACGGGCGCTGAGAGTTTCAGCCGCTTCCTCCAGGACCACTGTCCGGTGGTGACGGAAACGTACTACCCGACGGTCTGGTGCTGGGAGAGTCGAGGACAGACGCTGCTGAGACCTTTCATCACTTTCAAGCCTCTCGTGCGGTACAGGAAGTAAGTAAATTTCCGTTTTCAGTCATTTCTTCAAAGTCACAGTTTTTTGCGTACTCCCGGTTCTTGGTTCATAGCATCTCTGCTTTAGGAAGCATGCAGAACAGAAAGAAGGCATGAAAATGGAAGGTATGTCCCTGCTCCAACCCAGCTGCAGCTCAGGCATTGCCTTTCCCTTTCCCCCAGCTCCCCGCCCTGATGGAAATGGTTTATTTCTAGAATGAAAGAAGTGTCTGGGGGTTACTGTTTTCCAATTTGTCATGCATCTGTCCCAAGGACCTAGATCCTCTGACGATGTGCACCAATTCATTGCTGTGTAGCACGTCCTGGGGATTGGAGAAGGATGCCAATTAATTTGGATTTTGTGGGATTGACTCTTGGCTAATGACTTCATCTTGGCAAGCAAATGGGTTCTTGATGCTAATCGTCCTTGAGATGTTAAAGATAAGATCCAGAATTTATCAGTAACTAGGAGATTGAAATAGTGCCTGTTATTAATTTCCCTGAGTCATCTACTCCTTCTGGAGTTCCTTTTCTGCCTGGAACTTGCACTGTTTGGGAAAATCCTGTAAGTTCGTAGATACTATGTGAGAAGTACTTTAAATTATTTAAGAAGTAAATTTTCTAACACACTCTGTCGGGAGACTGCGTTATTGAGTGCAAAGAGCTAGAACAGCAATCAGATCAGCATTTTACTTATTCATAATTCCCTGTTGAGTTATTTGAGTGACCTCAATCAAATAAGGGTTAAATGCTGGGTATTTTAGAGTAATGAGAAAATGATTAAGATAAATGTTTGAAGTGCTTTCAAGTTCATTTTTATATACTACCTTTTAGTAAGGTTGCTGGAAATACTTTATGGTACTAATCTTTATAACATCCTAGTGCTGAAGGAAGGTGATATATAGATACACATATGTGTGTGTGTGTTATTGAATGTTGAAAAGAACATTTTTGAGATGACCCAATAATGTCATATATTTATAGAATTAAAACACTAAAATTAAGACATGATTTGAAACACTTAACAAGTAATGTCTTTTGAATTATTCCTTTCAGTGAACTTATTAAAACTGCAGATGGAGGACAGATTTCACTGGACTGGTTTGATAATGATAACAGTACATGTTATATGGATGCCAGCACCAGACCTACTATTTTATTATTGCCCGGCCTCACTGGAACAAGCAAGGAATCGTATATCCTTCATATGATCCATCTCAGTGAAGAATTAGGATACAGGTACCAGTAAAATATTTTTTTTCCGTTTTTCACTCGATTCATTCTAAATGAAGTACTAATGTATCTACATGTTTGTTTCAGAAACACTTAGTATTTCTTGCATGGATTAAGCAATCCCTTAAATTATTATTTTTATCTGCTTCCTCTTTTCCCTCTTTTTCAGGAAGATGCATAACTGAATCATCTCACACGAAGTGGCACTTAGCATAGTAGGCACTCAGCGGATGTAGGTTGAATGAATGAATGAAATTAGAATCACATGAGCATTGATAGAAGCTGCCCACCCCCACCCCCACCCCAGGTCTAACAAGGAGTAGACCCCATTGAAGGGAATGCATTGGAGAACAACAATTACAAACTGAGAGAGTACACAGTGGCCTTCATGTCACACTCTGTATTTGGGCCCTTGGATTCACTAATCTTGTCTCCCTGCCTCAGATCCCAGGTGTAAAAAATATTCAGAATCATCCTTGTAGGTCGTCCTTATTTTTCCAAAGGTGATCTGTGCCTCTTCTGGCCACCTGAATTTGCAGGTGCACATGGCTAGTGTCCGATTAATGATGCCACAGCATTTTTGAGTAACCATTATTCAACTCAGTCACCAGGTACAATTTAATTTTTTGCAAATGACTTAGCAACTTTAAGTTTCAGGTTCAGCTCTAGAATCTTACTTACAGTCATTGTAAAAGGTACTGCTTTTTTGTGCCTTAGTCTTTTTTTAGCTGCTAGTAATTATTGTAACAGAACACTCTGTGAGTTGTATTTAAAGTTACATCTTTTGTTAAACTTATAATACTTGTTTGTTTGAAAAGTTGATGTTGTGTTATTTTAAGAAAAACATTTTGATATAAAGGGAAAAATTCCATAATAGCTAATTCAATTCTAGCAAATTAATCTTCTACAGATATAGCCTGTTTTGTCCACAAAGTGACATTCCATGTTTAAGCACCATCCAGTTAGACGTGAGACTTGGTTCCAAGTTTTTTGCTAAAACTTAGTCATGCTCAGAAAGTACAGAAGATCATAAAGCCTTTTGTACATCTTTAAATTGCTGATTCTAGATTTGGCCTGAGCTGTCTCCCAAGACTTAGAAACTGCTTTTTTTTTTTTTTTTT